CTCTGATTTGGTTGTGGCCTCTGTTTTGCTTTTGTTAGTAATGGAGTTTTAGTTTCCTCCTCAGTTCTTTCTTGGCACTGAATGAGATGGAAATTGTTCGAAGGAAGAGAGGGGTTTCAAGCTCTTCTCCCGCTTCTTCTATCTTTTTTCATTGTTGTTTTCCCCCAAAGATCTTTCGCCGTTTCGAGTTTAAACTATACAAAATATAGACAAGTAGGGAGTCTGAGACTTGCAAGGATACAGAGGTATTTGGATCAGATTAAGAAGCTTGCTGTCCTTACCATAGAGGTATGAGTTTCATGTCAAATTTTTTTTTTTTTGGGGTTCTTTGTCTATGTTTTGCCTGTGTTCCATATGGATTTTCTTATTTTGGTGTTTTTTTTGCTTCATTTTCAGAGTCCAGATGGAGATATCATAGATTGTGTTCATAAAGGAAACACCAGGTTTAGATCACCCTCTTCTAAAGAATCACAAGATCCAGGTACATAATCCAGAACAAAGAGCAGAATTTGACCTTTCTCTCTCTCTCTCTCTCTCTCTCTCTCTCTCTCTCTAATATGGGTTCTAATTCAACAGAGAGTTCCACCAGAAAGGCCCAAGATGAGAATGATTAAAACAAATGAGGTAATAGTAACCAACAGGAACAGTGATGGATTTAGAGGTGCATGGCAAACGTGGCATCAGAATGGGCTACGGTGTCCCCAAGGGAACGGTTCCAATTCGGAGGAGCACAGTGCATGATGTTTTGCGAGCCAGGTCTCTTTATGAGTTTGGCAAGAGCAGCGTTCAATAGCGGTCGCTAGACGCAGAGATGCACCAGATATAATGAGTGGCAATGGCCATGAGGTATCTTCACCCTTTTCAATCCATTTATGATTTGTATTTGTATGAAATTTTGTGCCATTAAATATCAATCGGCACTCATCATGTCTTTTTTTTTTTTTTGGGGGGGGGGGATAACGACTAATTACCCGTATAATTATATAATAAATTTAAAAATACGTTCCAAAACTTCAAAAACCATACTTATAGTCTTTGTTTCCATATATCATCAGAATTGTCTTCCTCTTGGTTTTCTAAGTACTTGCCCAATTCCATTGTCACCCGCATGTCTAAGAAGCCTAATGAATGAAACAAACAACCCACAAGCAAATCCTCTTCAGCTGTTATATGTGCCTGGTGACTTAAAAAAAAGTGTTTTTTATACTTTTAATTTATCATAAGTACTTTCATAAAATAAAAATAGTGTTTAGGATGACTTATTAAAAATACTTTTGAAAAAACAAAAACTATTTTACCATTTAAATAAGCCAAAAAAATAAAATTTTTATTTATAAAAAATGTTGCATAATCTAAATAAAACTCAAAAATTAAAAACACAATATATATCATATCTTAAAAAACCTAAGTGGGTGAGCATAGGGTGAGGAAAGCCTCATTGCATCACGGGATTGGCCTTTTGGGATTTGCAATCTGTAATAATGGGTTTGGGGTAAGAGGATGTCGGTTATCCAAATCCAAGTTTATAAACTTGGGTTACCCAAATACAACAGTAAGTTTCCTTTTGAAAAACAACGGATAACCTTGTAATTGAAAGAAAATACACAAATATCCCAATTCCAAAATGAAATTTTTATGAGGTGCAAGGATAAACTTGGAAGGTGCTAGGTCATTTTAATAAGATTTTTTATGTATGATATTGTTTTGTGTATCATTGTATGTGTAGTATATATTTGTATATATGCATTCAATGATACTAATAATTGTGACACAGATAAATATTTTTTTTATAAAATATATTAATTTAAATATTTTTTATTTTAAATATTCAAATAATACTTATTTAATAAAAGTGTTTTTCTTATATAATACCTTTGATAAACACTTATTGAAACAGTAATTTTTGGATTTTAATCCAAATTATTCGGTGTGCATATATACATTTAGATTCGTACAAAAAATAGTATGTCTTAATCTTTCTATTATTACAACTAATAATTTGAGTTGCACATTTATAAAAGCACAACAATATGGTTGAAATTAATTCAATTTTCATCTAATTTCATGTAACGGTACAAAATTCGTTAAAAAAAAAATTTTCTAGCCCAAAAAGATCATTTTCTCAGCACCACCCTTGATATACAACAACCCAACTTACACGCCCTCTAATGTCAAATAACTCCATCTATCTCTCTCTTTTCTATTCTATCCCTCTATCTTATTATCTTTATGTTCACTCCAATTTTAAATTGCGTAATTAGAGAAAAAAAATAGATTACTACTTAAAATGCAAACATTACACAATCAATGTTGGATTCTGCTATTGCAGAATGTTTTTAAACACAGAGTTACAGTATAGTAGATAACGGAATTCTTGAAACATTATACTCCATCAATATAATAGTCATATACCAACTAATTATTCTTTTAAGGATACCATATAATGGATCAAAATGGGATTTGATTAGTAATTTTCAGGCCCCCAATATGTTAACTCTATTTCATTGTGTACTCATTCATTGTAGATATTTTTACCATTATTATCCGAAGGAGATAAACTTAGCTGCATAAATGGATATAAGTTAGATCATCTAAATTGCAATTTAGACAATTTCAATCATGTAACAATTATGTTGTATTCTATATAGTAGAACACTATAAAGCCACTAGTATGTCTAATTGATGAAGCTAATGGAGGATTAAATTTGATCAAAATTCTTTAAAATTGGAAATAAAGTGGAGCAAAACCAGAATCATGAAAAATTAATTAAAGAAAGAAGACTAATGGACTGCACATTCTCACGATTATAGCATGCGATAGCATACACTGGAACGACACAAGAGGTGTATGGAGCGAAGGCGACAATAAACGTGTGGGACCCTTCCATAGAAGTGGTCAACGAGTTCAGCCTCTCCCAGATTTGGATTCTTTCTGGATCATTCGACGGCTCAGATCTGAACAGCATAGAAGCTGGTTGGCAGGTACTCTTTCCAGTTCTGTCTCGAATAATGTTATTCAGCTGTAATTTAAGAATTGTTGTTATAATTCAACAGTTATATTAAATTAAGTTATTAAATTAAATCAACAGATTTAAATTCAAGTAGCATTATTTGTCTATCTTTGTCCATATAAGTATTCAAGACTCTATATACTAGTTATTATCTGTGTCGGAAGGTAGAGAATAATAAAAAATGATAAACAATTAACATATTCGTATTCATATTTAAAATCAAATTACAAACATAAAGAAGAGATAAATGAATTTAAGTATCGGTTATAAAGGGGGTGAGAGGGTGGTGGGCGACAGTGGTGGTGGTAGGAAGTGATGATTGTGGTGAGTGACAATGATTGTTGTGGCGATGGTGGTGGTGGTGGTGGTAGTGCTGGTGGTGGTGATAGGGTGGTGGTGGAGGTGACGGTTGTGGTGGTAGAGGTAGTGATGAGATGGTTTCAAACACTATTTTTTTAAAAATATTTATGAGAAATAATTCGTAGAAATATTTTTTAAAAGTCACTCCAAACATATTATTCGGGGCTTATTTTTTTATTAAATTTATGGTGTTAATATTAGCCGTTAGATTAACTTTAAAGTAAAATTTAAAGTGATCTGAACCACGAAAAGCAAAAGTTATTTTGTTTATATTTTGAAATTTAAATTGTAAGTTACTTTATTATATAGATTAGCATAAAATATATTGATTCCAAACAAGCATACTTCTATTATAAAATTAAAAGAGTTCATTTTCTGAAGCTTTGATACTTCCGCTAGTCAGGTTAGTCCGGAGCTTTACGGTGACAGCAGGCCTAGATTATTCACTTACTGGACGGTCAGATCTCTCTTCCTTGATTACCCACCTTCTTTTCTTTCGAATTTTTCAATTCCTTATACATATAAATATATACAAATGCATTGCATTTGGATCAAGAGATATCCATTGGAGCTAGGCTTATCAGTAGATTTAATTTAGCTGGAATTGTAGTAGAGTTGGCTATGAGATCCAAGTTAAATATCCAATTTAATATGATTCATCATGCTGCAATTTATTTTATTTTCACAGCTTATGTTAGAATCATTGAACAATTCAAAAATGCAATCAAAAAATTCGATTTGAAGAGCTCAATTAAGCTAAATTTTAAAAAGTTACATCTAATACTCAACTCAATTGTAGCAAATAATTACTCAAACTTATCATTTATTTGCATCCATATACACGCATATCCTAAGCAAAATGTGAGAACTAATAGAAACTAGACAGCCATTTTCATTGGACTTGTCATTCTCACTCGATGTTTCATTCTTCGGCTTGTTAGCCTCCTCTTTTTCTTCGTCATCATTTTTTTGACATAGTTATTTCATAGTGTTCAGGCTAAAAAAAATGCTTGGTTTAGCTTAATCGTGAAGGTAGCATGATTTTTACCCAAAAACGAAAAATCAATGAGGTGGTGAGAAGGGAAAGAGTGAACATGGCTTGTGTACTTCTTGTGAGTTCTAGGGGCTCATTAACCACAGAAAATGACAAGGGTGTGCCTTTTTGAATGGTTTTCCATGGCATGGGAAGGAGATGTGGTTCTTAATAATCAGTTTCCTCATTAACTCAAACTGACAAGTGACAGGGCAATCTCTTGGAGACCCAAAGAAAAAATTGTTGAAAATGTATTTATTTTCTTCTCAAGTATCTACGGGCCCAATTTGTTACATCTATAATACTATTAAAAATATTTTAACATGAAAATTTTTTGATTCTTTATTTTATTCTTATAAAAAATTATAAAAATCACTCTATCCTTTCACAATTAAATATCTAAATTATTTATTATCTCCTTATGTATTGAAATATGTAAATTATCTCTAACATATCTCTTAACTATCTATTCTGTTTATATAAAAATCAATTTCTATGAAATTTTTTGATGCATTATTATATTTTCAATAAAATGTTCAAAAACTTTTCAAAGTTCATAAATGTAATATTACTCATTTCATGTGCAAAGATAACATTATCCACATATATTTTTATTTTTTTATTTTAAAATTTTAAACATTTTATTTCTAAGATAAAAAATAATTATTTTTTAAAATTAATTTATGCTATATCAATATAATTTTTTAGTTTACAATAAACTTTTTAAGTTGTATTAAGATTTTATGTGAAAATAGTTTGTAGCGTATTCTTAAGTAAAATTTGAATTTTTCAAAATTTTGATTAAAATATATATTATAGAGTATTATATTAAAGCTTATCCTAATTGACCTAACTAATTTTTAATTACAGTAAAGTGTCAATATGATTAATTAATTTATTGACAATTAATTTTATTTTATTCTAGAAATTATAAATGAAATCCTAATCGAATGAATTATAAATTAATATAGTTTTATTAAAATTTGACATTTAATTGTTTTTAATTTATATTAATTTTTTTCAAATTAATATTAAATTAATTTTTATTGTTATAAAATTAATATTGAAATTCATTTAATCAATTTTTTGGGTACTAAATTAAATTTTATTTGATTTTATTAAATTTTTAATTTTTTGGATATTAAATTTGGAGAAGGACAATTGTAAAAATAATAAAAAAAAAATTGGAATGAAATTATCAATTTATGTTGGCAACAGTAACAGATAGGGAGACAGGGGGTCTTCGTCCAATGAATTCAAACCACAGGTGGTTTTCGTGTTACTTATAAAATATCAGGAGGTGTCTGTGTAATATTTTCAAAATTCAGGGCTGATCATGATTTTTATCCCTCTTTTTTAAATAAATGTTATTTTATTATTATTTTATCTTGAAAACTTGAGCAGTTATTTGTTAGAAGAGTTTATTGGTAAACAAAAAAAAAAAAAAACTTTGTGCGAATGTGTTTATGTGTATATTTATATGTGAAAAATTGAAAATTTGGTAATTAAATTTATAATTATATTATGTCATTTAAGGTTAAATGGTGATAGTGGTGATAAATTAATGAGTTTTATAAATGAGCAAGATTCGATTGATATTATTTATCGCATAAAGATTGTGAATTTAATTATGTTCTGTTAGTAATTTTTTTACTCGAGGTATTTATTACATGAGGATAGAGTGAATTTGAAATATGGTAAATGAGTTTATAATTATGTTGTATTATTGAATTGTGTTGTAGAAGAGATGACAAATTCGTAAATCTTATAAATGAGTAAGATTTTATTTATTGTAAATTTAAATGGGTTATGTTAGTATTTTTTTTTCTTAGAGGCATTTGTATATATGGTGTTATTTTGGGAAGTTTTATATATTTTTATAACAGTTCTATTAATTTGAAGGATATGATCAACGATATATTTCAAGTTATTTTTAAAAAAAAAATTGGTATGAATATTTTTAAGTTATTCTTTTTAAATTTGGACAATTTTTAAAGAATTTTTGGTTTGCTGTATAATACCTTTAAGTACGGTTTATGACTAGTATTGATATATTATTTCAATTTTATGTATGAAAATTATTCACGTATAATGCAAGTGATGCATTGCTAGTTACCAACAAAAGTTGTCATCTGATGAGATTAAAAATTTTGGGATTAATCTTAAAACTAACATCCACAACATCAGGTCTTAACATGATAAGTTGGAGTCGTAAATTGATAAATATTAATTAGATTGGCATGGTACATTGGTACCAAGCGGCATTGAATTCTAGTAGTTTAGTTTGTTGCCAATAGCTCTTTCCCTCTCATCAGCATTTCAATTACAATTCTCTTTGGGGGAGATCTTGTTAAATTCTCTCTTTGATTTGGATGTCTAGTTTATATTGAATTTTCTTCTTCATTACTGAGACTTGAAGTCATTTTCATCACTTACCTCTCAACTTGAAGGCCCACCTAGCATTAAAATCTCTCGTGGAAGAACAAAGAACTATCGAAATAGATTATTTTCGAGGAGTCCTCTTTGTACATCGAATAAAATTAATTGGTGCACACGTGCGTTGCACGTGAACCATTTGAAGTTATAATTGTGATTTTATTTTTGTAATTTAATTATTTAATCAAGGTATATGTAGTAAAACCAATATATATTATCAACATCTTTTTTTTTTCCCTGAGTAGAGTTGATTTCTTAGTTATATGATCTGACTTAAGTTTGATTTTCGATAGGAAATTAATCACATAGAGTTAAGCATTGTAGGAACTGTAATTTTTGTATTTTATTACTTAAAATACATGAATGATAAAACATTAGTAATGAGCAAAAATGAAAGGCTTAAAGAAGGCATAAATAGTAACCAAGATCAATCTAAGGAACCGAATACGCCAAAAATATAAAATTGAAGACAATCAAATACAGAAACAACAATTAGATAATATATGAAATGTTTGAAAATTCTACAAATGTAGACATCTACTTTACGACCACAAACAAAAAAATAGAAAAAATATATAGTGACTACTCTCTTGCTCTCTTTGTGAAAATCAACACCATAGCCCCATCCTTCGGACCAACACATATGACCTAACATACTTTTTTGTATCACTAACAAAAAAACAATAAACTACATTTGAGAATTCTTCCACATAGCTCAGCAACATGACAATTGAGATTCTTTACGGTGTTGCAAGGAAAAAAAGATTTGTTACACTGTTGGACAATGAAACATTCTCTTTTAAAAATATTTCCTGTAACACATAAATATTAGAGTTCGATAGACAACATTGAATCGGCTTTAATTGAGTCAACACTCCTGTTTGGAAGTGACCATTTGTTGCTCGCTATCAAAAATAAAGGAACTCAACAAGGCCACCACTTGACAATCAACAACCAAATAGCTATAAGAAGAAAATAAAAGATTGTCAACATTGGTGTTAGTTCATGTTTACGCTGACGAATCCATCGTCACACAACGCCTTGACATATAATGTATTCATTCTATGTTAGTTTATTTTTGGTCATACTCGAATCAATAAAGACAAGTTTCATTCAATCTAATTGCATAGAATGAAATTTTA